AGAGAGAGAGAGAGAGAGAGACCTGGAAGATAGTTAGAGAGCCTTGTACTGTTACAGGAGGAGGAGATGGCCTGCAATGTTGCCATGGATATTTATCTGTGTGTTGTGCTACGTGCTTTAGGTAGTGTTTGATAACTTTCACTGCAGTGTCCCTGGGAATCACCCCTGCTGCTGACTTTCATATATTGTGGGATGCAGGTGAAAATTGGTAGGGTGAAAGCTGGAAACCCTGTTTGATAAACTGTGGTACTTGTAATTTCACCTGTTTGGCAATGGGAAAGCTAGAAACCACTTGTAAGACTGTTCATTATGTATGTGATTGTATGTATTTGATTGATATGGTGTGCGAAATGCAGTTTTTTAAAAACATTTTGTAATTAAATAAGATTCCTTCCATTCATCCAACATATTACCAAACATGTAAATAGATTCAAGGAATACCAATATTTACATAAATATTGAAGAAAATTGATCTTCTTAACATCAAAATTTCACTCAATCCACAGGCAGCCCTCAAGAGCAAACATATATCATTTATTTAAGAAATAGATATTTAAAAGTTTGAAAGCTAACCATTCAATATTGCCACCACACCGTACAAAGTTATTAATTACTGATTCATGCAATAAACTTCATCAATAAGCATTGATCCATGAATGAAAAAATTCCAATTGGAAATGTGACATGAAATGCAAGGGAAATAGAGCTAGCTTCCAGATGTCCATTTCATTGGAAGAAAAATCAACTATCAAGCACTAGTTCTTAAATACACAGCCATGGGACTCATCTCCTTAATAGCCGGGTTCCAGATGTCCATTCAATTGGAAGCTAATATTTATAATAGAGTGTTGCCACAATTTGCAGCATAATGAAGAAAACCTTCACAATAACTCAGCAATAATTTTCTAAAGGGCATTGAAAAGGTTGATGGATGAAGTGAACGGTCATCCAAATGACTTCCGGGCAGTTTCTCAAATAAGGATGTGACATGGATTAATTAAACAAAAATACAGAAAAAATGACAAACAACTCCAAAACCCCATAACCATGAGGCACTAGATACTCAAAAAAACTGCCGAGAAGTGTAGTACAACAGTGATGCAGGGAACACAGTCTATTTGTATAGAATGTTATGAAGGCATAAAAAAAACTAGAAATTCAGCAGACCAGTAAAAAATGGTGCACTTGACAGTTAATGTGACAAGAGAAAGACTACACTATGAATACTAAGCTGGGGAAGGGAGATTATTCAATGACTATCGAACCCAAAAACTAGTAAGAGACAGAGAGAAAGTGTGAGATCGAGAGAGAGAGAGAGAGGCCAATCCTTCACCGCAATTTTTGCAATAATGAAGATATAGGGAGATTGCAATAATCAAGAAGCATAAGAAAACTCTAAAAAGCATACTGGTGCTACTTCTTCACTGCAATTTTGTCAAGACCTGAAGTAAGAGATCTACAAATGATGGTGTAGCTACACCATGGAATTAAACCGTAACTTACAGGTCCATTCATTAGCAAATGAAAAAGTGCGTGAGCACATTTATCATACCATAACAAATAAAGAGCACAACTAAAAAAAAGAACACAAACATCAGAAAAAAAAGAACAAAAAATCACCCAATATTGGAAAACAGGGACAGTTCGAGATTAACAAAGGAAAAAAGAAAACTAAATCAGGAAAAAAAAATCACCTTTCTATATTTGAGTATTATTAGAAGGCGATTGTTTTTAAGCAAAAAAAAGACGTACAAATATCCATCAATGGTGATATTAGCTATTAAAAAAAAAAGAAAAACCCAAATCGATAATTTGAATCGCTACATTGAGAATAACCAGGAAAAGAAAAGAAAATAATACAAATTAACAGTTAACAGAAAATGAAAAACAGAAGAACTCAAATTTCAAGTTTTTCTGCTTAATAAACAGTAAAAAGTTACTGATAAATGGATCCCTACATTGAGAATAACCAAAAAAAAATGGATACAAAATTAACAGTTAACAGAAAATGAAAATAATAAAAATTAATACAAATTAACAGTCAACAAATTGCAGATTTATCTACCTAATAAACAGTAAAAAAAAAGTAAAAACTCACTGATTTTTGCGGATTATCTTCTTTGTGATGTTTTTGAGCAGCGGTGGAGCTCTCTGATGGGGCGAGTAGGCTATTTATCCTCCAAGAAGTTTAGGATTCAGCTAGGGTTTTCGTAGAGTGAAGGATTTGAAACCCAGCTCAATTTATGACATGAAGCCTTTTCTCGTGGTCCATAAGCAAATTTGGTACACTGGCACGTGCATCAGGTTCAGAAAGAAACTTTTCTATAGAATGTTTCGTTACGGTTTAATTAAGGACCCAGTTTTTATGCGGCCAAGTCTATTTTTGAGATAGATTTTAAGACGTAATTTTTAAGGAAATGTAATCTCTAACATGGATGTCATGAATATAAACAAAAAATAATAAGTTTTAAAGGCTAGAAACAATAATTCTAGAAATAAAACATTTAAACAGTTAGTTTTTATTATTTTTAGATGGAACATCTACTTGCATCCATCTTTAAAATAGATGTTTTACAATATGTAGAAATGGCGGCTCCTGCCCGCATGAAACAATTTCCTTTTAAATAAAGGATCCGGTTTCTATGTGACCAAGCCCACATATGTAGAAATACGGACCTATTAATAAATTTATTTTTGAGATGGATTTTTTGACTTAATTTTTAAGGACACGTAATCTCTAATATGGGGATCATGAATATAAAAATATAGGTAAAATTTAAAAACTAGAAATAATAATTCTAGTAACAAAACATTTGGCTTCTCAATTTCCATTGTTTTAGATGGAACACCTATTTGATACTTTTGGACCACATATGTACTTATGCGGTCCAGCCCACATGAGACAATTTTCCTTAAATAAATTATGGGTATTGTATTTGATAACTTGTTGGAATGTTAAGAAAGTTATGGGTGTTATGTTTGATAACAAATATATATTAACAATAGAAATATAAATAAGTAACATAAATAACATAATATAATATATAATATAATGTATTTTGTATATATATTATTAATATATATTTGTATTATACATAATATATAATATAACATTTATTATAATATAATATAAGATATTTATATATTATATCATCATCATCGTAATTTTAGCTTTTTTCGAATTAATTGGGTTTGGCTATATGAATCTTAATTCTTCATTTTGCTCAATTAAATGCCATATCCTCGATGAGGCCATTAGTCTCATATATCTTCAAACGACTTCCAACCACGTTCTTTTGTGGCCTAGCCCTTACCTTTTTTAGTTCTTCTACTTGAACTAACTTGCACCTCCAAACAAGTGTTGTACTTGGTCAGCGCCACACATAATTAGCACACCTAAGTCTACTATCACTCACTTTTATCGCTTATTGTTGCTCCTATTCTTATCGCATATTGATGCCACGCTTAAATTCTCTCGAATAGATTCATTTCGAATTTTGTCCCTTCTTGTCTTGTCACTCGTCCATCTCAACATCCTCATCTCTTTTTACACTCATTCTATGGGTATATTGTTCTTTGTCCACCGAACATTCCACCCTATAGAGTAAAGTTGTTATCATCTTTGTCCTATAGAACTTGCCCCATGACATCATTGGTATGCGGTGATTACATAAAATTTAAATTGTACATCTCCACTCTGCCTACTTAGCTCTAATTCTGTGTGCGTCATCTTCACTGATCTCTAAATTTTCTTGGATCATCAAACCAAGATATTGAAAGTGCGGTCTTTTTTGTACTTCCTAGCTGTCAACTACTGCCTTGTCTCTACTCATATTATTACTAAACTTGTACTTCATATACTCTTTCTTAGTCTAACTAATTTTAAAACCTTTGGATTCTAAAACATCCATCCAAAGTTCTAACTTTGTCTTGACATCGTTTCGGGTCTCATCAATCAAAACTATATCATATGCGAACAACATGAATTACAGTACCTTATTCTGTAGGTACATAGTTAAGTCGTCTATAATTAAGGCAAAGAGGTACATGCCGACCTTTAATGTAGACATATTGTCACTGAGAACTCACTCGTTTATCAATTAATTATTCATACACTAGTTTTCTCTCCATCGTACATATCTCTCACCAATCAATGTAGTGTCTAGAGACGCATTTTTTTTCCAACACCCGCCAAATCAAATATCAAGGTACTCTATCAAAAGCTTTCTTTAAATTAATAATGACCATGTGAAGGTCTTTTCTCTTCACCCTAAATTTCTCAATTAGTTGTCTAAGTAGGAAAATAACATCAGTTGTTTACCTTCTTGGTATAAAACTAAATTGATTTTCAGATACACTTGTTTCATGCCTTAGTTGTTGCTTAATAACTTTTTTTTTAAGTGTCTGTGACCATTAAAGGCCTTATAAGTGCTTGTAAATGAATTTATATAGTAAAAAATCAACTCAGTGGGAGTGTGGTCCCATGTGAACCATACGAAGCAAACTATGTTTGCTAATACCGAATTGTGTTTTATGAGCTAGGCCGGTCTGGCTAGAAAAAACTCATGCTACCTGGGCATAAAAAATAAGCCGATAAAGGTTATGATGGGTCATCCCTTGATGAGGTCGGAGTATTCTATAAAGAGAGAGATGATGGACTGTGTGACCCTTGTATATGATGGAGGCTCATCTACGTACCATCGCATGACATGCACATTGATAGTTGTTTTCAGAAAAGCGAACCACTTTTCAGGGTGAAGTGCGAGAGATAACCCCCTATGCACCATCGAGCAATGGATTGCATCAGGTTTGGATGTTCTTGATTTTGTCTCTTAGGGAGTATCTAAATCTACTGGGATTACGACCACTTGCTCATTGGCTAGACTTTGGTGGCTTATTAATGGTCCCCTGCATGGACTGTGGGTCATGGGCAACACTGGGCTGGTTTGAGAAAGCAAGTGTGGACCGTAGTTCACAATAGAATGTGGAGTGTCATAGTGTATATTTATTCCTAAACCATATGAATTATTTTCCCATCAAAATATTTAATAATGTTTGTTATATGCTTTTAAAATATTGTTATTTGAATTTTTCTAAATCTTTAGATATTTTATTTATCAAATTTGGATATGTAAAAACAAATATATTGATTTTACATTGATTTAAATATTCAAGTATGATTTTATGAATTTTTAAAATCATAAATATTACTTTGAATATTGCATGGGAGGCCTAATAGTCTATATGGGCCCACCCTGAAAATTGGGTGGGGCCCATTGTGTGCCACCTAGGTTAGCATGCCCCACCTTGAGGAGTTTCTAATTTGAAGAGCTTAAGCTCTTGTCTTGAGGGATAAGTAAGTTGTGTTATGGAAAGCTTTTGCCCTAAGAAAATTTCGAATCAATTTTTGGTATGTGTGAATAGGCTTAAGCATAAAATAAAAAAGTATAATATTATTATATATTATTTTCTTATTTGAATTAATTGATAGAAAAATGATTTAGGAAGTGGGAGATCATGGTTCTAGCATCTTTCATATGATGTTAATGGCCGATCTATGTAATGAACGGCTCATATCTTTCACCCCATAAATCATCCAAGATCAATAATGCATATTCAATCTCATATGTAGAGGCAAGCCATAGAAAATCCTAATAAACTCTTAAAACACTTGATCCACTATAAAAAAAGGCGACCCTGCCCAATATTATCTACACCTAAACTTTATGTCACTCTCTCTCCTACCCATATAGGGGGCACGCCCCACTCTTGGAAACCTCTCTTTCTCTCTTGGAGAGTTTCTCTCTGTCCTTTATGCAAACTAAGGGGCACGCCCCACTCTCTTGCTCTCATGGAGTTCTCTCACTTCTCCCATCTTTCATCTTGTGTTGGGGCTAAGGTTTAGGATGTAGTAAAAGAGACTCTATCTCTCTCAACTAGGTTATCAAGGGGGTTCATCTATGTTTGAATTTTGTGATTGAAGGGATTCATGTTCCATTGGTTTGGCTTGGCTTAAATTTGCTTTCCCGTTTGATATTGAAGGTTAACCATTGATCTCTTTGTTTCTTGTTTATTTAGTTATTGTGTTATTTATTCCCAAACATAGGTTGTGTCTTTTCTTTATTATTGAAAGAAATGTTGTCTTTTCTTTATTATTGAAAGAAAGGTTTTGAATGGCTTCAAGTTCTTGAGATCTTATTGTATTCTTTCTTTATTTTAATCGAAGTTGTTTCTATTGTAAAATGACTAATTGTAAGTGATATAAGCCGTGTATATATATAGGAAGCTACAACGCGACGCCTACGGGCAAAAATGAACATTATTTTCATCCATAGGCTCGGCACCGTCTGATGTTTTTATACAGCAAGGATTAAAGACTGCCACGGACCTAACATGTCCATGGTAGTCAAACCATCATAGACATAGCAAGTCAGTGGCGGTCAAAAAACACGCGGAACCGCAATGGACCACATGTCGTCTGTTGTGCCTCCGTTCAATAAACCGCCATGGACATGCTATATCCAAGGCAGGACAAAATACTATTCAATTT